TCAAACATATATTTTATTCAAAAATAAAAACATCATCGCTTTCTCAAAATCACATAAAGCCATACTATAACATCGACTGAGATAAAAAATAAAATGAAATATTAAAAACACGATGTATTTCGCTGCATTGCGCGAGTACGCTTCTAGTATATATATATATATATATATATATATATTTTTCGTAACTCGAGGGTTTCCTTGGAAACCGTCTTTCTATCTCGTGAGACAGAGGTAAGTAATTGTGTTTACAAGCTGTCCAGACACCCACGATTATAAAAAATGTATGCATATAATACGGTATTTTCTTATATTGCTTTCTGTTGCGATTTTAGGATTTTTGGAAGTTGATCATGGTGTCGTTTGGATTGGCAACGATAGCAGCGATTATGTATAGTGTTCATATGTATCGAGTTCGGAAACACCTCTTTCACTTCGAGAAGTTGTTCGTGTTGTTTCGTCGACCTATATAATTGTATATATAGATTTTTTTTTACCTTGTGACGGAAAAAACTCAGACTTAGAATCATGAGAATCAGTATATCAACTCAATCCATGTTCAGGTTCAGTCTGCGTTCATTCATAAAAATCGTTTTACTGAAGGGATGTAAATGTTGTCAAAGAAAATTAAAAATCGACAACCAAATAGTACTTTAGTATCGATTATACACGATAAAATTAAGTTGATAAAGAATATTTACTTAAAAATGATAGTAGTGGTAAGTGCGGTGATTGGCAAAGTGAGATGATGAATGCCGTGTTTGCCAAAAACAAGATGGGCTTTGTTGACGACGCCATACCTATGCCAAAGGAAAGATCCTCAGGTCTGATGCAACGTTATGGTGAGAGGATGGCTCACAAGCGTGATGGAGAAAGAAGTCAAAAGTAGCGTCAAGTATGCGACTACTGCTCGTGACATTTGGATTGATCTTCAAGAAAGATCTAGAAACGTAAACACCCCCGACCATATGAATTAAGAAGAACCATCACCATCAAGTAAGAAAGAAGTGTTGGGTTACAGGATCTCAAGCACATCGAAAAATAAAATCATAACCCTCCAAGGACCTATAAGAACCGGAGTATATAGTGCATTTTTAGATTATACCTCGCATTTTGACAGACTTTGAATCACAACAAAAAACAAGACTTGATGCCTCCATGGCATCCACGAACAATCTGAATCCTTTTGCCTTCTTGTGATGCTAGTCACGCGGTTTCAGAACTTAGAAAGAAAAAGGAGCATATGTTGTAGGTGATTTTTAGAGAAAATTGCAAGACAAAGACTTGCATAAAATGTCATATATTTTACGGTTATGAGAAGTATGGCTTAAAACCACCATTATCCTTACTTGAGTGTAAGACTTGTCATATGTTATCATTTTCTTTCTAAATCCATCCATTTTCTACCTACTTTATGTCCAACGTTAAATAATATATAATTTTAATTTAATCAGATTAAATCAATACCAAATCAGATATAAGAGTTAAAACATTTTAATTATTGAAACTCCTTATTCAAATACGTTCAAATCTTGTGACTAACCGATTCTCGACAATGTTGGTAATAAATATGAATCTCGTTTTTACATTTATATTTATATTTATAAACGATAAGCGGTATCTAGGAAAAAAGTAACAGTACCATTTTATTTGAACAAGATTTGTCTGAAACATCAATTTTTTCATTTTTAAAAAGCCTGTTGCAGATGTTGTTTACAAGCTAAATTCTTGAGCCAATTAGTCGACCATCCGGTTAAGACCCTCTAGAATATATAATAACATTAAATGAAATTCTAATCAATTTCGTGTTCTTTTTATGAGTTTGGAGTAGAGATGGCCAAATGGGCCCGGCCCGGCCCGGGACCGTCGGAGGACCGGGACCGACAAAGGACCGGCCCGGGACCGGTAAAGACCGGTTATGGGACCGAAAACCGGGACCGGTTGAGGTTTTTGGTAGTTTCGTGGGACCGGGACTGGTTATGGGACCGACTATGGACCGGCCCGGCCCGGCCCGGCCCGGCCCGAAAATTCAATTAATTTTATAAATAAATGTATTTTTAAATAATTTTATAATGTATTTTTATAAGAAAACGTAATTTTAATTATATTANAATGTATTTTTATAAGAAAACGTAATTTTAATTATATTAAAACGCATTTTAAAGTGTATTTGAATGACCCAATTGTAAATTTTATAATGTATTAAAAATATATATCATTAAAAAAATAAAATAAAAAATCTTATTTTTTTAATGAAGGACCGGTTGGGACCGGGACCGGGACCGGGACCGGGACCGGGACCGGGACCGACGTCCCATAACCGGTTATAAAGTACCTATACCGGTCCTATAATTTTCGATCGGGACCGGGACCGAGACCGGGACCGGTTACGCCGGGACCGGTTATGGCCGGTTATGAGAATGGTGAGGACCGATTGGGACCGGCCCGGGACCGGTTTTTGGCCATCTCTAGTTTGGAGACATGTTTTTCTTTAATATGTTAGAAGGTCAGTGATTTAATTAAAATCTTATTTAAGATTCTATAACTTGATAAACGTTTATCCAGATAAATATTTAGTAAACGGCCCCTAAATGACTCGTCTATTTAGACCCATATATTTCCATGTCATTTCATTTCAATTAAGCCAATCATAACATCTAGAAAGTAGTCATAAATTTCGTAAACCAAATAACTTATGAAGATCATGTGTTTCTGTGTACAAAGTATTCAAGCCATTAATTTAAAATAATTATCGTTATTTATTAAATAAAAATTAATACATTTTTTTAAAAGAAATTCCATATTTATCTATTTCTCTCCCTCTCATTTTCTCTCTTCTATCTTCGTTTTAACATATGCATCGTGCCTATAAGATAAATACATTCTGAACATAATGTAAACAAGATTAATCATTTTTTATTAGGGTATTCACAAGAAGTATATATTATATATTTAGTTTGTTTCACAAGCTATACTAGAGCTCGTAGATTTAAAGTGTGTTCACAAACTATAATAGTATTTATAAAGAAATGTTTACGATGTATTTACTTTGAGTTCATATTTCATTAACCATGTGTACATGTATGAGGTGGAGAGAGGAGAGAGAAAATAGGAGAGAGAATGACTATATATTTTTAATTTATATTATATTTTTTCAACTAATTTTGTGTAATTTAAATTGAATCTTACGAATTTCACAAATTAGTAAGTTTGTAAAAGGTCCATGTATCATGTAAAAATCCATCTTTTTATAAAACATTTTTTTTTCAAATAGTGTTCTATAAAATAATTAATATGATATTTTATTTTAAAAGAATATTAAAAGTTTTGTTACGACGCCGATTCTATAAACTTCTCATAACTTTTTTAGATATAACACTTTATATTTTTGGTTTTATAAACTTAAGTCATGTAAAACACTTTATATAACACTTAAATAATGGCGTTTACTAAACGCTTATCTGGGTAAGTGGTTATTGACAAAGTTCAATGTTATTACTTACTTATCAGATAAGATTTAGTTCATCAAAACGACATCGTATGCAACAATTTACCCAATAAGCGCTAATCATGGTAAGAGTCATCATCCTCACTTACTTGATAAGACTCTCGGTCCTTGCATTCAGTCTTACAGGGTAAAATTTTTTAATCTTTCTCATATTTATCCGGTAAAGTAATGTAATGCGGTAAACTCTTATCCAAATGAGTGTTTTCTAAACGACCCATTAATGTCTTGTAAATAGTGTTGGAAAAAGCACGCCGTAACAGCCGCCATGATGCGTCATATCTTAAGGTTTGTGTCTCACGCCACGTTATGCCGGTGGCGGGCCATGACATAATGCACGGGTTTTATAACGCAATATTTGATTTTTCTTACTTTTTAATGTGTTATTTGTTAGTTTATAATGTATAACCTAACTTAAATTATTTAATATCATTGACTTATTGAGTAATAGTAGGAAATATATGTTCATATGTATAATATATGATATAAGGATTTGGCGTGATAAGTCACGCCTTCAAAAGGCCGCAACCTCGTCGTGCTCCTAAAGCTTGAGGCTTGACCTCGCCCCACGCCGTTTTGAACCTTACTTGTAAACTCAACTTTGATGTTTAAAAAGGGAAAACATTTTGTGCAGTTTGTAAATTATTCTACTTTCAATTTTGAATGAAATGGAGGGAAGAGGAAACGGAGCACCGACGGTCGGAATCGACCTTGGAACAACATACTGATGTGTCGCCGTCTGGATGCATGATCGGGACGAAATCATACCCAATGATCAAGGCAACCAAACCGCACCATCTTCTGATGCTTTTCTTGATGAGGAACGACTCATCGGCCAAATGGCACCAAGAATGAAGGAGCAACAAACTCTCCTAAGACTATATTTGGTCAGCTAACTCATTTTTCATATTTAGAGGTTAGAGTTTTACGGTGAAGGGGGTGTTGAATTTAGATGTTCACGATTGTATGCACATGTGCATGCAACACATGTTCATCGTTTTTTCATTTTCTGCTATAATGAAATTTGATTCAATTATTCATCTTTGAACATTTGTATTTTTGGGGTTTATGCACACATGCATACAAGAAGGAATTAAAAAATTCATGATTTATAATTAAATTTTTCTTATTAACTTGGATATACAACCCGCTATGCGAGCCGACTAATTCTAGGTTGACCACCTGCTTTGCAGATAGCCCCGGAGTCACCGCATATGAACCTTCATGGCCACAAGAGGATTTTTATTCCTCTTTGGATTTGAACCTGAGACATTCTTGTACTTTTGACATTTGGAGTCAAGCTCAAAACAATCAGACACCACCCATGTGGTTAATAAAACATTGTATCTATAATAAAATAGTATTTATATATTAAAATAAAAGGCATTACAATTTTCGTATTTGCGAAAATGGAAACTATCTTTGAACACTGTTCATAAAAAATTATCAACTTTGATTTCTTTTCACATGAAAATCTTGAAAGCTTTATTATTTGTAAGTTTTGGTTTTTTGTATTAAAATTGTAACCATTTTTTATTTATAGATTAAGGGGGTGTTTGGGATTGCTTATTTGAAATAACTTATAGTTTTCTACAAAAGTCTTTATCAACTTATTATAAGTTAAAATGGTTTAACTTATTTAAAAACTCATTATTACTGATTTGACACCAGTATAAGTTGTTTATCAAAACACTCAAAAATGCTTATTACCGGTGTCACATTGGAATAAGTCAATAAGTTGTTTTTATAAGCAATCCCAAACACCTCCTAAAAACGAATCAAAAATCAATCCATTTATGGGTTATTTTTAGAAAAAAATTTCCTAATAAAATCCATCTATAAAATTGAAATATACACTTTTATGGTCTACAAAAATAATGTTTATTAATTAAGGGTTTAAAGGGTATTTAATTAAATACCTAAAATATAATTTTGTTTTTTTCTCCTATTTTAGAGACCTCTCATTTTGATTCAAATATTATGAGAGATGCATAATGTTTTCACTGTTAGAACTTATCAAGTATTTTACAAAAAGACGCCTTTGAAGGTGGCACA